AGACTTATTAACAAAAAAGCAGATGAAGAGAAAAAAAAAAGAGGTTTTTAATATTAAAAAGAAGTTCTTGTACATCCTTAATAAGATTAGCTCTTGAACATTTCTGCCAAATAAGAGAACTCTGTGTAATAGATCTGTTGCATTTTTTGGTCAACCTACCCTCCAGAGTCCAAAAGTTGCATCAACAATGTAGAATTAATACAGTATGACCTAGTTTCAAATGCCATTGCTCAATGCTATACTATCATAGGAGTTGTAGTTTTGTGAGATTTTTACCCTTCTCTGCCAATGCACCGGGACTGTGGCACAGCTGGCTGAGTGTCAGCTACATTAAGATCACTTCTGACCAAAAGGTCATGAGTTCAAAGCCAGCCCGGGTTGGAGTGAGTTTCTGGCCAATTGTGTAGCTTGTTGTTGACCTATGCAACCTGAAAGACAGTTGCATCTGTCAAATAGGAGAATTAGGTACCACCTATGTGTGGGGAGGCTAATTTAACTAATTTATGAGGCCATAAGACTCCAGCAAAGCACTCCAGCAAAAGCATGTGGGGAATGTGGAAGTACTTCATCAGTGTCGCAGATGGACAATGAAAGCGACAGCTCCCCTGGCGGCCAGAAAAGTTAAATAGCCTCTGAATGTATGTCTATATCTGTTGCGTGTCTTTGGCATTGAATGTTTGTCATATATGTGTACATTGTAATCCGACCCAAGTCCCCTGCGGGGTGAGAAGGGTGGAATATAAATACTGTAAATAATAATGATGATGATGATGCTACAAATACCACAATTTCATAGCATTGAGCCATGGCAATTAAAGTGGTGCCCGTCATCCCCCCCCCCGCACCCCAATGTTCAAAACCACTACACCAAGCTGGCTCACTGGGGTCCTATGGGGTGAGCCAGCTTGGTGTAGTGGGGTCCTAAAATCAAGAACTTATTTATTTATCGTGTCAGGAGCAACCAGACAGTTGTATTACATTAATAAATTAATAAATAATTAATAAAAAATAAAAATAAAAATAAATTAAACATACGCAAAACTGAGACTTCAGATTGAACTATGGTATTTACTACTATCTGTTCGTCTAAATATTAAGTGATTTGAAATGTTACCATCTCCAGAGATATTTTAATCATTTCACTGCACTATATGCAAAGCCGAAATTCGTAGCTATGTGCTAGAGAAGCCTGGTACAATAAGAGTCAATATTTATGTTTTTAAATGAGCTGCATGCAGACATTTTGTTCAGCTGTTTAAAGGCAAAAACAGAGCAGTAAGATTCTACCATGACTTAACCATCTCTATTACTAGGGCATTTATATGTCATGAAATGAACGGATCACCTTCAACAAGGGAGAGTTTAACAGTAATTTGGAAAAAGATAATTAGCTGTTCACATTTATAAAACCCAAAACCACTCAATAAGAACAGCTACATGCAAGGGGGAAATCACATACTGTATAGTCATTGCATAGATAGGAACAAAGAATGGTCTATCACAAATTGCAACTTATAAAAATCATAAACTTCCAAGTTTAATTCATTAATCTGTTTAAGAAATGTGCATGTAAACTTTTTGTTAAATGATATTGAAAGCAGGTAATTTAATGTCCTAAACACATGGAATCACCATAAACAGGAAATGTACTGATGAAGGAGCAATTAAGTCCTCATCAACAGAAGGCAGCAGACAAAAGAGTGATGTAATAATATAAATACTAGAAGGATTACATCCAAATTAATCATATATTTTATATTAAAATAAGAAAGGGGGCATTTTGAAATCTCTGTTCCATTAATGCTATTTGACAACAAACCTGGCAAACCCAGCCTCACCGTAAAAGTGGTGTGTGTACAGGAATAGAATCAAAGGCAACTATGAAATGGGAATCAACATATAAAGGACTTTCTTTCCTCTTAGGAAGTCCTCCTACCCTGCAACAAAAATTCAACAATGGTTTTGCTGTAAAGTCTGCTTTAAAAAATTAGATAATCTATTAGAAGATGTAACCTATTTTTCAAGCATGAATATTAGATAATTTGGCAATGATATCAAATTGGCAGATCTTTAATTTAGAGGCTTGGTTCTGTCATACTGACTGCATATATTGTTTTCGTCTTTTTTGTTAGTTGTAGTCCATAGTAAAACTTTTTTTGATTTACAGCATCAGAAAAATGTATTATTTTTAAAGCAATGCAAATCTTAACCTGTTTATCTGAATATAAAAAATAAATAAATGAGTAGCATATTTAAATTTAGAATGCACTAACTCTGGCCTATTATACTTTTAAAGTACAATTTCTTTGTTTTCTGGGAGCCTACTACAATTTCTAAATGGCAGGAAACCAAATGCAAATGGTCTCCATTGTTTTCCAGCTTGCCTGTCTATTTTTTCACCACCAACAATTAGAGTTACAATCCATTTTCTATAAAACAAATGAGTCTCTTTCTCATAAGTAATTGATTGTGTATTTATGTTTTGTAGCACATTTAGATACTCCATATCATTAGAAAGTGTTTAAGACTTGCCACTTTCTCAGAGGTTAGACAGGCTATGGAACACATTAATAATAATTAAAAAAATTATAATAATAAAACTTTATATTCCGCTCTATCTCCCTAAAGAGACTCAGGGCAGATTCCAAACATAGAAGGCAAACATTCAATGCCCGACAAATTAATGGACGAATTAATTGAAAATATAAGGGCTAGTTTATTCGTTATGCAAATACCAGTCTTCTCTCTGATCCTTTCTCATATATGGATTTTTTTTAAAGATACTTCACAGATTACAGAAGAGACTCAAAATTAACAAAAGGAACTCAACAGGAATAAATAGAAAGTAAAATGCACAAAAATTGGATAGGTGGAGCCTTGATAGAAAGCAGTATGAATGAAAGGGATCTTAGTGTCTCAGCAGACTACCCATAGTGAAGTGAGTAACAAATTTGTTGTTTCTGTTGTTATTATTACATGCTAAATGTGAGTTAGCAACATGATGCTGCAATTAAAAAAGTAAATGTAATTCGAGGCTCCATCAGCAGGGGTCTAGTGTCCAGATCAAGGAAATTATCAGTATCGTTTTATTCTATTTTAGTCAGTTTTACTGGAATGCTATGTCCAGTTCTAGGCATCAACAAAGATACTGACATGTTAGATTGCATCCAAGAAAGACAATAATTATGATGAAATGTCTGTGGTGGAAGCTCCTTCTTTAAACAGAGGCTGGATGGCCATCTGTCAGGCGTGCTTTGAATAAGATTTTCCTTCTTCTTGTCAGGGGGTTGAATTGGATGGCCCACGACATCTCTTTCAACTCTATGATTCTGTATCTGAAGGTGGTATGAACTCTTATTCTTTAAGGCAGGGGTCCTCAAACTAAGGCCCGAGGTCATTTACTTGGCCCTCGCTCAGGGTCGACCCAAGTTAGAAACGACTTGAAAGCACATAACAACAACAATCCTATCTCATCAGCCAAAAGCAGGTCCACACTTCCCATTGAAATACTAAGAAGTTTATATTTGTTAACATTGTTCCTAATTTTAATTATTGTATTGTTTTTAAGTGTTTTTTACACTACAAATAAGATATGTGCAGCATGCATAGGAATTCATTCATATTTTTTTTCTAATTATAATCCAGCCCTCCAACAGTTTGAGGGACTGTACCTGGCCCTCTGCTTAAAAAGTTTGTGGACCCCTGCTTTAAGGTCTACAAAGCGAAGTTGGATGAGTTTTAATTGTTGTTGTTTAATTGCTGTTTTGTATATTACTGTATATGAACACATGTTGTGAACCGGCCTGAGACCCTCCTTGGAGGTGAGAAGACTGGTATATAAAACTTCTAAATAAATAAAATAATAAAATTAATTGTGTCTTCGTGCATCGCCGGGGGTTAGAGTAGATGACCTTTGTGATTCTTTACAACTCTGATTCTGTAATTCTTAGGTTTTAAATCATTCCTCCGTGCATTATTTTCCCCAACACCCTTTTCCCCCACAAAGTATACACTATTCGAAAATTATAAGAAAGTTTCTCCAAAAATATGCCTGGCAACTGTTAATTTTCAAACAATAACAGTAAAACATCTCACTTCCTAGTTACAATAGCCAAGGAATGAAACTAGATACAAAACTAGAGGAACTGACGTGTCTCAAAGCAGTTATCTTTATAAAGGGCAAAGGGAAACCTCCAGTCCATGGACTTAATTCAGCCCATGAAGGGTTCGAATTCAACCAACCGATACAAAGCACCCATTGGTGTGCTCCATGCACATCTCACCTTACAATTGGGAAGACAAAACATACAGAGAAATCCTGCTATCTTATTCAATTTCAGGTATTACATTGCAGTAAGAGTATCCATATTCAGGAGTCATCTGCTTTGTTTCTCCACAAATCACTGTTATGAGTGTGCTCTCTGTACATCAGGTATGAAAGAACAATTTTTTTGCATGCGACACATAAAGTACCCCATCCCCAGTCATACACTGTCTGGAAACAGCCATAGCCCATGCAATGAATTATAAGATAGCAGGTAAACTATTCTGGTTTTTTTATGTTCTACCAAGCATACCAGCATGTCCCAGCACATTTTGGATATTACTGCAGTATGACAATGAACATGGTGTAGGAGTTCGAGTGTTATGGGAGACCAAAATTCAAATGTCCACTCAGCCATTGAAACTCAGTAGGTAACAGTTGGCAAGTGACAGTCTTTCCGCCTCTGAAAGGGCAAAGGCAAACTCTCTCTAAGCAAACTCTACAAAGAAAACTGCTTGAAAGGTTTGTCTTATGGTCAATGTAAGTCAGAAATGACTTGAAATCACGTAACAGCAACAGCCAGGGGAAAAAAAATATTTCTGTTCTTCAAGCAACACTGTAGACTGGAGAAAATGCTAACATAGTTAACTTGCCAAGCATTCTCCTGTTTAGCATATTTTATTTATACAGAAGAAAAAATATATGAGCATTAAGTCAAATGTTAAAAATATCTTACCTGAGCGTGAAAATTTGACATAGTTGTTGTTTCTATATCTTTCTTTCCCAAAATTTCCATTTTCACTGGTGAATTGGGAAAATTAAATGAAAAGTAGTCTAAAAAATCAGGTAAATAAGTAGCTGCCCCATGAACAATTCCCATTACATAGTAAGCTGCACAGTTTTCATTTTCACGGAAAACCAGACCCACAAATTCCTCCGCAAATCTCTCCATCTCCACAGGAGACAAGTGGGAGAGTTCATTACTGTAGGCATGGACAACTGAAGCTCCTCCATTAGGCTGGTGTTCAATATGAATGAACTGTCTGAACTCCAATGTATCTAGGCTTTTCAGTTTGTTTTGAACCCGTGGCTCCTTTAGTGAGAGAAATGGAAATTCACTGTTCTCTGGTACCTTGTGCTCAGAATCCTTCTTGGGATCCAAATTTTTCCCATTGAAATCCTTAAGGTGATTATCAACAATGCCTTTGGAGTCTTGATCCTCAACATCAGAAAGCATTCCTGAGCAGATGGTCTGAATAGATTTACTGTACATTTTTGGACGCTTCCTTTTTTCACACTCTTTATGTTTCTTTTTCTTTTTCTTCTTTACTTTTTTAATCTGCAGTTCTTCTGCATTGCTTTTTGGTTTTTCCTTCACACCTATTAAAAGAAAGATATTTATTTTAATTTTTATGAGAAGGCACACAAAGGTAATAAAAAACCTATATGCCAAGTAAGACTAGGTGTACTGGAAGTCCACTTGAAGTGTAGGAATGATAGCTTTATTCTTGATCGTTTATTAGAAAGTATAGCTGGAGTTCAAGCTAATCCGTTTTCTTGCCTGATGAACTGTATGCATACCATCATAATTACCAAGCCTAAATGAGGTGTGTGAAGTAATGCATGCAAAAAGGCAAGGTTTATCAAGTTAATCTTAATTTTCATCACAAGTAAAAAGATGCTTTATGAATACACAAGTAGATAGAGAAAATGGTAATGAATCCTTCTCATTTGTGAGTAAAATAATTAATCTCAATTTATTTTGTTATTTTCACTTGTGGTTATTTTTACATACCTCAGATGAAAAACGCTTACAGACATACTGCAACAGAAATGCAACTAAAAGTTAAGAGAACTACTGCAATATCTTAGTTTTAGTAAAAGGCCTAAATTAATGGATTTCCTTCGCACAGTTAAAACTAGTGCACCAGCTGCACCCATACCTTGAGACGCATCTCCATATACAAACCAGCCCGAGCCTTGCAATCTGCGGAGGAGGCCCTGCTCTCAGTCCCACCCCCATCTCAAGCATGGCTGGTGGGAATGAGAGATAGTCCTTCTCCGTGATCACTCCCTGCCTTTGGAACTCCCTCCCAAAAGAATTAAAAACTGCTCCCTCTCTCCTCGCTTTTAAAAAACTGCTGAAAACCCACCTGTGCACTTTGGCATATGGAGAGGAGGAAGACTAATATGCCTAACTTATCCTCTCATCTAGATATGTTAAACCTTGTCTAGAGACCGGAACTGACTTCAGCCCACTAGTTGTTGCACAACATGTGATCTTTTTATAAAGTTTTAGCTATTGTTTTAGTTGTTTTTATTTAATGTTAAATTTATATTAACTGTTATATCTGTATAGCTTATATAAGTTGTTATCGTCAGTTACTTTGTCTGTTATTAAGTTTAGAGTTAGGTTGCTTATATATTATTTAAGATGGTTTGTCCTGGTGTAATTTGTTCTCTTCATTCATCTGGAGAGGCCCTGCTCTCAATCCTGCCAGCATTGCAGGCGCGATTGGTGGGGACGAGAGAGAGGGCCTTTTCGGTGGTGGCCCCTCGACTCTGGAACTCACTCCCTAAGGACATCAGGCAGGCCCCAACCCTGGCAGTCTTCAGGAGGAGCTTGAAGACGTGGTTGTTCCAGTGTGCCTTCCCGGAATAATGATCCCATAGCACTTTGTCCCTCTAAAGCACTTTACATTTTTTAGGTCTGCTCGTATGTCTTTCCACAAACGCCACTATCACCTTTTCGTCCATGTTTCAGCACTATTTCCAATTTTAATTTTACATTTGGCCTTCCCACAGTTTTAATTGTATGTTGTCTTATTGATAATGTTATATGTTTATTGTCTATGTTCTTATTTTAATTGCTTGTATTGTTGTGATTATTGCTTGTATTGTTGTGTTCGGGCTCGGCCTCATGTAAGCCGCACCGAGTCCCTTGGGGAGATGGTAGCGGGGTACAAATAAAGTGTTGTTGTTGTTGTTATTATTATTATTATTATTATTTGTTTGGATGGTTCTTTCCCTTTTGGCACTGCATGTTTGCCATACATGTTGGAAACCACCCTGAGTCTCCTCAGGGAGATAAGGAGGTCTACAAATAAATTGTTGTTGTTGTTGCTTCTGACTAAGCCACACAAGAAATCTAGATCTGTTCAATTAATTTCTTATGATATCATGAAGTAAATACACTCTTCAGTGAACCATTTTATTTATTGATATGTGTATGTTAGATATCTGAAAGCTCAAGCTGAAAAACATAACATAAATGCAAATTATTAAAAGGAGTCATTGCTGAAATAAATAAGAACCAGAAAAATCCAACTCTATAAGACAAGGATAGAAGCATAACAAATTGTGACATACTAAGATGCTTCTCTTCACTGTTTTGTTCACTCAGCTAAGTTACCTTTTCTCCTCCTGATCCATCCACTTTTTCTTTCAAAAGTCATTGTCAACATTTCGATACTCTATAAGAGATACACCTCTTAATCCTTTCTACAATAATTCTTTTTGTAATTCTGCAAACTTTGGCATTCCCTCAAGCCTTTGACTTTCTCCCACTTCTGAATTAACTGTATTATTTTAACTATAAAAAACACTCGCACTTTGTTTTTTTATCACAATTAAAAACCACAAACTAGAAGTTATCTAAAACGCATGGATGAATATTAAAGTCTCTGAGGAGAAAGAGAAGCTGAGCTTGTGCTTTGGGGGCCAGTGTACTACTTGAAGACCTGGATGGGTGATTTTTGGTTTTGAGCATGTGATCTCCTTGAGTGAATGGTCTAAGGGAGAGGGTACTTTGCTAAATGATTTAATTGAGAGCAAAGCAAGCAGCCTGCTTATCGAGTCTTTGGAGCTTAGTAAACAGAAAGAGAAAAACAGGCATTAGAACTTTAGTTTACATCCTTGCATGGCAGGAAGTTAGGAATACATTGATTTTATGTTCCCGTCTAATTCTAAGATTCTATTTAAAAATTACCTGAAAAATAACATGAAACACTGGATGAGCTTCTCTAGAAAAGCTATTACATAACCAGTTTGAAGTAAACTCTACAAAAGGTCCCCATCAACCATAAGCTGAAAATGACTTGAAGGTGTTCTTCACGGTAACCTGATTCCATGTTGCTCAGAGTTCTACATATTAAATCTGTCACTTTAAAAATGGGATTAGAAACAGACTGTGACCTAGTGCTGCTAACAAAATACAGATATCATAACATGGTCACTCAATTCTTGTGTAGCCATAGTCTATTTTCAAAGACAGCCCTACATACTTGTAATTGTTACCAGCTAAAGGATGCTACTAAAGAATGGGCACATCCCACTTTCCATGGACACTAAATGGCAATGGGGGGAGCACACAAGGAAAGTGAGACCTGCAGGAAGCTGGACACTGTATAAACAAACTCTGCAATGACCAAAGAGTTCACGTCCGTGTTTGTCACTAATACTATATGAAACAAGAAATCAACTACTTCATTAACTTTGATAAACACCACAGTTTTAAGTTTATATCAAGGTACAAAGCAATGCATTTCTCTACAGAGAATTCTGCCATCTAACATTTGTCTTCCTTCAGCACATAATCAAAAGTGAAATTATGAATCCTATTCACCATAATGTTAAAATAAAGTTTGATCCAAGCAGGATTATTAAATAATCTAATTATTTATAGAAAAACAGTATCATGTATATGGAAGAAGTTTTATTGAGCAAGCTTACCCTTCTGAAATAATTTCATTTCTCCATTCTCTTTCTTAATTTCTGACATCAACCTATGTTTCTTCTTTTCCTTCTGCTTTTCCTTGTCACTTTCTGATATTTTATCTCTGGTGATTTGATCTAAAAAGAAAAAAAATGATGCTCAGCCATAACATACTATAAATAGACATTATCACACTTATGTTTGGTATTAGTCAAGTAGATATATTATTTTGTTCTAAAGTAATACTTCTTGTGAATATTTACATGTTATTTGTAGAAGAGTAATTTAGAATTACATAAGGAAATGTTTTGCAGTGAACAATTTAAAACAACAAAAATGTTCTTGCTATATCACCTTCTAAACAAAGCACAGTAGTGTCTTGATTATCCAACATAAATGGGCTGGCAGAATGTTGGATAAGAAAAAAATGTTGGATAATAAGGAGGGATTAAGGAAAAGCCTATTAAACATCAAATTACGTTATGATTTTACAAATTAAGCACTAAAACATCATGTTTTACAACAAATCACAGAAAAAGCAGTTCAGTAACTGTAATATTATGTAGTAATTACTGTATTTATGAATTTAGCACCAAAACATCGCAATGTATTGAAACAACTGTGGATCTGGACAGATTGCATTGGGTAAAACAGAATGTTGGAGGAAGGAAGGTTGGATAAGTGAGACTCTACTGTAATATCATACAGATTGCTTCCCCAAAAGATTTTCTTTATACACAACCATGTTTTTGAGAACAGAAATTTATATGGAAGAGTACCACCATTGATTTGCAATGTTTGACTGTATTTAAGTCCACAAAATGTAATGCAACTCAATTTTAAAAAAAATTAATTACCATAAATACATGTTTTGGTTCTCATGTCAGCACTAATTTCAAAAAGAAATCTCAACATTTTTCAAATGATTTTTCAGTACAAAAATGGCAGACTTCAGTTAAATGGGAAGTTAGTGGGTTATTATATCAGACCTAAAATCTAATATGGCAATTGAATAAAAGAATCATAGCATCATAGAGCTGGAAGAAAACACAAGGACCATTTCACCTTCTACCATACAGAAATACTCACCTACAGAACCCCTGAAAGATATTCATCTAATGAGTACTAGAGTGCTCACATCATTCCTTTCCTCCCTCCCAAATTTACAGCCCTTGGAAGACTCCAACACCATTTAATAACACCATTTAATATAAGGTGTCTACTTTTCTAATACACAAGAGATACTGTAGGAAGAGAGATATTATCTTCTCATTTCAACTGAAACCAGTTCAAAATTGGAGCCTCTCAATATTTTGCACCTATATGAGTGCATTCAAATTTAACGGTTAATGATTAAATACATACAAATAATTGAAGGGTGCCTCCTTATATGTAACAATGTGAACCAGACAAATAATAGCGGATGACTGAGATTACATTCTCACACTTTTGAAAATCTGTAGAAGATCAGCAAACCTATTTTTGATTTTCAAAATAAGTATCCAATAAAATAAAGTTATTAACAGAACAGAATAAGGATAAGCAATTCAAACACTTATATAGTCTTTTATGACAAATAATCTCTGTTACACGGGATTATATACATGCAGCAAATATAAAATATTACTAAATTTTCCTTTATAAACTAGAGGAATAAAGGCAGAGAAAATTGTTTACAAAGAAAAGTCACTAACTTCTGTTTAAAGAGAAAAGAAAAAACAAAAAGATTCTGGAAAATACTGGGAGAATGATTTCTATGCCCCATCAGGATCTAAACTGGGAAGAGGAACAGCCTATAAAAGTATCTCTTATGAAATGTTTTCTCTCGAAGGGATTTTTTAAAACAGAATTAGAACATGACATAGCTACAAGTTTAACAGATGAGACAAATACAGTGTAAACAGAATTAGAACATGACAGAACTACAAGCTTAAGAGATGAGAGAAATGTACAGTGTATCTCAAATACTGGAAGACTTTGACAAGGTTCCCAATGATACTCTTTAGGACAAGCTGGTAAATGTGGGCTAGATGATGTTACTGTTGCGTGCACTGGTAGCTGGCTGATGGGTAAATCTAAAGACTGCTCCCTGACAGTTTATTATTTACTTTGCTTATATACCGCTGTATCTCAAGCCCGAAGGCGACTTTTGATACTGTAGAAAAAGAACAAGTGGATGTTGCAGGATTCTGTCCTGGACCCATGGTTGTAATATAAATGACTTGAATGAAGGAGCATAAGTTGTATGCGCTAAATTTGCGTATGATTCAAAAATAGGAGGAGGGAAGGTTAAAATCTCAGAAGAGATGTTTCATCTACACACTTTCTTCCTTTAGTACAATTAATGTGCAAATCTGAAGAGATATTCGGGAGGAAACTGGGGAGAGATTATCCCGTTAAAGAAGAACTGAAAAATCAGAGTATGCAAGAAACTATCAAGCGAATGTCAGAATTGTGATTGACTTTAGATTAGAAGATTGTGGGCCTTTTGCAATGAATAATGACTGACTTGATTTCAGACACATCCTAAGGTTGTTTTTTTTTTACCTTTGTCACTTATTTCCAAGTTATAAAATGGTAGAAAACTTTTACAAAAATCTTCAGCAAAAAAAGCAAATGTATTTGAAATACCGTATATACTCGTGTATAAACCGACCCGAGCATAAACCAAGGCACCTAATTTTACCACAATAAAACCTGGGAAAACTTCTTGACTTGGGTATAAGCCGAGGGTGGGAAATGCAGCAGCTACTGGTAAATTTCAAAAATAAAATAGATACCAATAAAATTACATTAACTGAGGCATCGGTAGGTTAAATGTTTCTGAATAGTTACCACACTTCAAAGAAAAACAGTAAGGTAACTCTGTAAGTAGAAAAGGAGGGTCAACAAAAACAATATGGTATCAACAATAACTCAATAATGATTATGATGATGATATATTTGTCCTCCACTCTCTTCCCATGGGGTCTCAGGGTGACTTCCAACAAAGTAACAGGCAAACATTCGATGCCTATATAACAAAAAACCATTAAACTTTCAAATAAAGACAATTCTAAACATTGCACAATAAGTTAAAATAAACAATTGCATTAAATAATTATCATTAAAAGCAATTTAAAAACTAGCCGAGGTGAATTGTCATATCAGTTCTTTTCCCTTCTCTCGGGCTTCTCCTATTGACACAGCCTAGAACAGCATTTGCCTTTTCAGCTGCAGCATCACACGTTGGCTCGTGTTCGACTAAGACTCCTTTCATAGAATCCTAGAATTAGAAGGGAGCTCTAAAAGCCATCTAGTCCCATCCCCTTCATTCCACCTTCATGCTGGGAAAGCACAATCAAAGCACCCCTGACAGATGGCCATGAAGCCATAACAACAACAGAGTTGGAAGGGACCTTCAAAGTCCAAGGACCTTCTGCCTCCATGCAACAAAAGCACAATCAAAGCACCCCTGACAGATGGCAACCCAGACTCACTAATAATAACAACAATAATAATACTAATACTAATAAAGAGTTGGAAGAAATCCCTTGGGCCATCTTGTCCAACCCCTTTCTGCCTTTGTGCAGCAAAAACACAACCAAAGCACTCCTGACAGATGGCCGCCCACCTCAATAATAACAATAACAATAACAATAACAATAAGAAGAAGAAGAAGAAGAAGAAGAAGAAGAAGAAGAAGAAGAATATAAAGAAAAATTGAGTGATATGAAACTAGAGTCATCCAATACAAACAAAACCAACTCTTCCAATCTGATCAGAGGCAGTTCTACTAGAGTCTAAATCAGTAGGTGGCTGTGAAAAATGAAAAACCAGAAAAACAGCTACAAATGCATTCTGGAAAGATCTGTGGGAAACAGAAAAAGGTTACAACAAAAAAGCTGAGTGGATAAAATACTTTGAAAATAAATTTTCAGAGAACAAAATGAGAACCTTGGAAATAACAACAGAAATGATCACTGAAAGAGTGAAGAAAGTCAAGAACTGGACATCATCTGGCAATGATCAACTGCACAGATTTTGGCTTAAATATCTGATTAGCCTGCACTCAAAAATGGCCGAACAATTCAATGAGATGCTGCAAACTGGAAACATCAGCAAATGGATAACAACTGGGAAGACATATTTGATACAGAAAGATCCAGCAAAAGGGATCATACAGGAAACTACAGGCCAATAACATGCCTGCCTACAATGTTCAAACTGCTGACAGGCATAATAGCTGATCAAATCCAGGATTACTTGGAGGAAAATAACATCTTGCCAGTAGAACAAAAAGGCAATAAACGAAGAAGTAGGGGCATGAAAGATCAGCTTCTAATTGACAAAATGATACTGGAGAATTGCAAAAGCCACAAAACCAACCTCTATACAACTTGCATTAATTACAAAAAACCATTTGACTCACTGCCACATTGTTGGATTATCAAATGTCTAGATGTCATCGAGATTTGTGAAAATATTAGAAAATTTACCGAAAATGCAATGAAACAATGGAAAACTGAGTTGTTCATAGGCAATGAAAGCTATGAAACTGTTAACATCAAGAGAAGAATTTTCCAGGGCGACTCACTGTCACCACTGCTGTTCATCATTGCAATGATCCCACTGTCAGTAATTCTACAGAAAACAAACCTGGGCTACCAAACAGCAAGAAATCACCAAAAATTTCCCATTTGCTGTACATGGATGATCTAAAGCTTTATGGAAAATCAGAAACAGAAATCCAGTCACTGACCAACACAGTCAGAATCTTCAGCACTGACATCAGTATGGAGTTCGGCCTAGACAAATGTGCCACAGTGGCATTAAAGAAAGGGAAAATTACTCAGAGTGAGGGCATAGAGATGCCAAACAGACAAACCATAAAATGCAATCAGCCTGAAGCCTATAAATATCTGGGCATACTACAGTTGGACAATATCAAGCATGGGCATGTGAAAAATGTGGTCAACAAATAATATATCCAAAGAGTCAGAAAGATTTTGAAGAGAAAATTAAATGGCGGAAAAACGATCAAGGCTACCTGGGCCATCCCCGTCATTACATACACTGCTGGAATTGTGAACTGGACACAAGCATAGATGGATGATCTGGACAGAAAAACAAGAAAACTGATGACAATCCACTACTC